ATCTTATCTCTAAACACTACATCATTTGACACGTTAAATCAGATTTTTTTTTTATTGATTGTACAAAGTATATGAATACAAGAGAGCATTTTTTTAGCCACATACAAAAAAAGCTGCATCTGCTTTTCTATGTTTTGTAAATACTAAAACAAGATGTCCATACCCCCTTTATCAAAAAAGGGAAAGGAAAAAAAAACGAGAGGGCCAATGGGGCAACGACTATATGAAGATAGAATCAGAAAAATTCTACTATATCCGAGACCAGGCTTATTTATTGCGAAATTCTACTATAATAATGTAACTGAAAATGGGACGAGATGGGTACGAGCTCATATATTCGTACTTCGAAGTAAACCAGCATGAGAAAATATAGAAAATGGCCATAACAAGACATTTTCTCGGTTTACATATTCACTGGACTATTTATCTCAGATAATTATTCATAGCTTGACACAGTGCCGTGCTTAGATCTGCAGTGGCTTTAGGCGAACTAAAAAATGTGGCCCTTAGTATAAAAATATTATTTTAAACATACAAAAAAATAAATAATAACCGAAACTATAAAAATTCTAAAACATAATTTTTCTTCGTTTCTTTCCTAAAAAATTATTTACCACACTCACATAATCGAATTTTTTAACCACAAATCAGACGGCTATGTAAAATGTAACCGGAAACCGACTGACAATCCGGTCGGACTTTTAAAAACCGGATAAATCTGAAAAACACTAATTAAAATTTTCTAAACCGATGGATCCAGTCAAACTCAAATTTTGTTTAAACGTTGGTTTTTAAGTTCAAAAAGATTTTAATTGATGTTGCTACTTATATTGAAGAAAAATTATAGGCCTCCACATTTAGATATGGATGTGAGACTTTTTTTAGTTATACTTATTTTAAGTTTTTAGTTAAATTTCCTTTTCAAATTTTCTTTTTTTATGTTTGAATATCCATAAAAATAAATATCAATAATACTAGTATATGAGCTTATCTCAAAGAAATAACCCAACAATATTTACCTCATTAACTATATACATAAATTAGTTAATAAAATTGTGGCCCTAATTTTTTTCCAATTTTTGGTGGCCTTAGGCTAATGCCTAATTCACAGGACATGAAGCACGGCTCTGGCTTGACACATAAAATGGTGAACAATTTGTGAAGGAATATTGTCCCACACACCTCGAGATGATGGTTTTTCTAGCCATGCATCTCGAAAGAATTCTAATTTAGAATTAATTTTAAGTAAGATTGACCGAACTAATTTTTTTTTTTTGGCCGAAGTAGTAGAATGATTACGACTAATTTTTTTTAGGTCGGATCGAGTATTTAGGTAGAGAATGAAGCTGCGTGTATTCGGATTGGATCTGAGCTCTGATACCATGTTAAATATGGGTTAACAGACTTTTAACTTAAAACCAATTGGCAATGAGTCAATTAGTCCAACTCCCTTATATATTAGTGTAGTCCATCCCAATTATTCTCGATGCTAAAATTGTATCCAATATCCTTCACAATATTGGTTACAACCTCATACGAAGCCAACAAAGTCAGTCTTCTTCTCACTTAGTAACTGTTTTCCAATCCATATGGAATCAGATTCTACGTACCTCCAAAGATCAAACACTTTTGGTGGAGAGTGCTTCATGATGTGCTACCTCTAGCTGAAAAACTTAGAAAAAATTAGTAGAGAAATATAAGAGTTAGTACTGTTGCTCAATCCTCCATTAGAGTCTTTTTATTTGAATGAAGTCTGTGATAACTTACTTTCTTTAGCAGATATTGATAAAGACTCTGCAAAGAGGTTGGTTATGGTATACATGCTAGGCTGGAGAATCTGGTCAATCTCGGATGTTATTAACAAAACGATTTTTGATCTTAAAACAATAGATGGAGGCATCAGATGCATGCTAACAAGGAATCTTTAATGTTAGCTACAACTCATCTTTTCCGAGCTACTACTCAATGCCGAGATACACCTATTGAGGCTGAAGCAGAAGTTATGAGACAAGCAACATCTAATCTATGCAGGCTCGGTTATAAAAATGTATAATTCTGTGGAGATTCGAATTCATTTTACGGGTTTTTGGAGCATAACCGAGTAAAAAAGAAAGTGCAAAGTTGGCAACACTCTATTGCTATATATTTGCAAGATATCCTTCAAGTTTCTGCCACTAGTACTTTCTTATAGGCAGATTAGTAGAAATGTAAATAATGTGGAGATGTATTAGCTAAGGAAGCTAGATGCAATAGACAGAATTATGTAGTCAAATGGTTTATGAAATCATTCTCGGTAACAAAAACAAAATTTAACAAAATAAAAGTAGTTGTATTGGGCCGCCGTAAACAAAGGAATAGTTATATTGGGCCCTAGCCCATCTAATATATATAGACTAGGTCTCGGCACTCCGCTTGAAGACTTCGACGGAACAATTAAAATTTTCGCTACGGTCTTTCCTTTGTCTTCGCATCATAAGCAAAGTAGTATATGCCTATAACTATGGGTTTAAGTTGAACAACGCGAAAGACAATCGATTTCTTGGGCTTTACGGCTCCTTTATCTCCAAGAAAGAAAAGAAGAAAAGTTCTGAGTACGGAAAATTCCAGTATACAAGTAAATGAGTAATTATTTTATTTGTATTGCACAAGTATGATTATTTACATTGGTCCATATTTGGTCTATTATCTGAAGCATTTTTTTACCATAGATTGTGTTTGAGTCTTTGAGATGATTGGATTTTATTGTTTTCGATCCCTAGTTCAGCTCTAAAGAGTCAAGATTGGCTGTCAGATTATCTAGATTCATGGACGAGTAAGGGCTTAGTAGTGGGAGAGACACCTATTGATGGACTAAACCCTAAACACGTGCCCTTTTATATAATTGGTCTTAAAAACGTATTATTCGTTTTCTTTGGATGAAATTCAGGTGATATCAACAGAGACAAATTTTGTAACTGACTGAGTAAAGTGAATTCCTGCATGCAAGCCTGAGACAGGCTAAGGCTATCGGTTTGATAGATGACTTCATAAAGTTTCATTGTTATTTTCTTTGGATTTCTATTCTTTTTTAGTTTCATGTTCAATCAAAACAAGTGATCGAGATAGTCAATTTATGTATGAGGGATTCAGTGAGATTTTGATTTTGTAGTTGACAAATTGAGAGAATCGAGTTACATCTCACAAGAGAGAATTCCGTTACGTACATCCCTGAATTTGGTCACAAGAATGTTGTTTATTATGATTCAAGAAATTAAAGAAGAGCAGAAATCGCCCTACCACTAAAAGAAACTACAAGGAATATGCACAGTTCTAGACCTGAAATATCCTAAATACTCTTTTTAATAAACAACTTTCATTTTTCATCAATTATTACTTTTCTTTTAATTTGGTTAAAGTTAAATTTTCCGTTTTTATTTCATGCGTCCACCCCTTTGTTGTAATTTAAAATTTGCAAAACTGAAAGTTTTTACTTTTACAACTTACATGACAGGAAAAAATGGTAAGTCAATACTTAATACGTACCTTTCAACAAAAAAATAGACATTTAACATTCATACCTTAGAGGGTAAACTCTTGGCACAAACAAGAGTAAACTAGTAAAGAGAAATAAAGTCAACAGCTCTCAAATTGGAAAAGATTCTTGTTCATAGAGGCAAGACAACGAAATCGTGTTGTTAAATTCTAAGATTTGTATAATTTGCCTCCAGCGGCCACCTAATCTCCAACCATTATAATTGTAAAATATGTTTCCGAAGTTGTATCAACTAATCAGATTATTTAAATTAAGATGGTTAGTTGTTACAAACTTCAACAAAGCAGAGATTATTTATGGAAAACAAAAAATACATTTCGTTATTTATAAACAAATATGACTTAACTAGATTTTGTTTTGTTAAGGGAAAAACTAAATATACCAAACCCTAATTTTTCCAAAATCTGAGATATGCTGCGTTGCGTTGATTGCAATATTTTCACGTAAAACATATACGAATTCTTTGTGGTCCGATAGGGGTATAATCAATCAAAGTACTATCTTTGGGAGAAATTCTTGAACTAAATTAATCCGAGAAAAATAGCCGGAAGGAACTATGGGCCTATGGCTGCCAATATACCATATATACCATTAATATAATTAGTTTAAAATGGAAGTCGGTAATCATAATTAGAGTCATAAGTTCGAAACTTATTAAAAATCTAAGTATCACATGGAAGATCATTGGTCGCTATATGATCCAGATATGTTCCACGTTGGTCACAGCTCATACTGTCCCTCCCATTTTTGGTCCGTATTTATCCATTATACGTTCTTTCTTCTCTCAACATTCGCATCTTTATCTTATCCTTAACGTTTTAAATCTGGGTCCACCAAACCCAAATTTTCGTGCGTTATACCGGCGGTTTAACTGATTTCCGCCAAACCCAATGATATGTGGGGAAATCGGCGGTTTAAGTGTTTGGGAAGAGCTTAATTTCATTCTTTTTATTAGGTTTTCCGCTGTTTGACTTGAAAATATATTTTACTTCTATAATATAAAAAGGGCGGGGGAGGAATTAGGGAACAAATATAGGTGCATATTTCATATTTGTATAACCAAAATATTGGACCCGTTAAATCTTAGATTTCCCGGAACTTATGATCATTGATAATCATGTTAATCACGTTGACCTGAAAAACTTGAATTCGGGATTCATTATTGATAGTTTGCAGCTTCACGACCGATTAGTGGTAATTTTATCACGTATTTATATATGTATACTCTTTTTTTTTTCAATTACTCATGTCGTTATTATCAACAGCTTCGTAAAACCGACCATTACGAAAAATGTGATATAATAGATCATTTCAAAAAAAAAAAAGTGATATAATAGAAAATAAACCAATCATTAGAAATCATGTCCAACGCACCACAAAACGTTATATTGTTAAATATAGTATTTTTTATGGTTGGATGTTTACGAACATGCTCCTATATATAGTATGACATGCAAAAGGTCCTTTTGTGCTTCTCAGTGGCAACGAGTCTTATTCTTCTTCATTAAGACGAAACTAGTACTAGTTTACATTCAAAATTTTATCAACAATGGCCGGTTTTGACTTTTCCTATGAAGAATCCTTTAAGTTGGTCTCTTTGAAAGCTTACCTCGCCGAGTTCATCTCCACTTTACTCTTTGTTTTCGCCGGCGTTGGATCTGCCATTGCCTTCGGTTCGTTCTCTCTCTCTCTCTCTCTCTCTCTCTCTCTCTCTCTCTCTCACTCAATCCGCACCACATTTAGAATTCTACAATGTTGATTATACAGGATATCGTTGACCAACCGAATAGGATCGAACTAATTTATCTAACGATAATTGTAACGTAATTCTTATTTGTTACTACCATTATATCAAATAATTGATCTTTTATTGCGAAAAATGTAATTTAATTTCTTAGTTTGCGATTATGAGTTGTTATCAAAAAGTAGTTTGTAATTATGGGTGAATGCTTTACGAATGTGATAACAGTTTGTATCGCATAGGGAAACTGACAATTTTTAACCAAATACAATCGAATTTATCGAAACTTACCTATAGATAATTGTAATGTAGTTTTCATTTTATTATATTTGATAATAATATCAAAATATTTGATCTACATTATAATTATGAGTCAATATATATAACGAATGTAATAATTAATCTCACAGGAAAGCTGACGGAGAATGCGGCGCTTGATGCGTCCGGACTAGTGGCGATTGCGGTTTGCCACGGTTTTGCCCTCTTTGTGGCGGTTTCAATCGCAGCTAACCACTCCGGTGGTCATGTAAACCCAGCCGTCACTTTTGGCCTTGTTCTCGGCGGAAAATTGAAAATCGTAACCGGACTTGTCTACTGGGTTGCTCAGCTTCTCGGCTCCACCGTAGCTTGCTTCCTTCTCAAATTTACCACCGGTGGTTTGGTATGGTTTCGGATAATATTTCCACTTTTTAGTTACAACAAATGTATTATCTTTAGTGTATTTCTTTCTTTCTCTTACTACCATGCATTTATGGAAATTAAAGTGTTTTCTTGTATATATTATTATGTTAACAAACGCAAAAATCGTGGAACGCAGGCGATTCCAATCCACAGCGTTGCAGCTGGAGTAGGATCCATAGAAGGAGTAGTAATGGAGATCATAATCACATTCGCATTGGTCTACACAGTGTATGCCACAGCCGTTGACCCCAAGAATGGCACTCTTGGAACCATTGCTCCACTTGCTATCGGACTCATCGTTGGTGCTAACATTCTAGCCGCTGGTCCGTTCTCTGGAGGTTCCATGAACCCTGCTCGTTCCTTTGGACCAGCTCTTGCGGCTGGAGACTTCTCAGGACACTGGGTCTATTGGGTCGGTCCACTTGTTGGTGGTGGTCTAGCTGGAGTTATCTACTCTAACGCTTTTATCACCGAGCCCACGACCGAGACCGAGTCCGAGCGTGTCCCTCTTATTTCCTCTGCTTAAATTAAACATTGATTACAAATTATGCATGCTTCGTGTGTTGTTTTTTTTTATTTTTGTTTGTTTTTTAGTTTGGTTTTCTTATTTCTCAATCTTTTGCTTGTTTAATGAATGAGTTTGGTTCGGTTCATATAAGATGGCAAACATAATATCATGGGTCGATAATGTTGTACCCATGGATTTAAATTAATATATATGTCCAAAAATGTAGGTAATACCGTAATAATAATAAAATAAAACGCTCCAGGGAGGGCTTGAACCTCCGACCTTGTGGTTAACAGCCACACGCTCTAGCCATCTGAGCTACTGAAGCTTGTTGGAAACCAAACAAATTAATAAATTAAATATTATAAATTTTGATTCAGATATTTGACTTCGGTCCTAAAACCCTATTGGCGAAAGAGAGAAAACTTGAGTTTTTTCTTCAGAGATGATAAAGGACTCCGATGATAAACACAATGCTATATTTACCCAAAAACCTACGCTTTCTTCTCTCTTCACCTTCAAAGTCTTCTTATTTCCCTCCTTCTCTCATACCCTTTTCTCCACGATCCTTGACCTGTTCGTCTCCAATGGAAAAGAACGAAGCCAATAATGGTTCCAAGTCTTCTGCTTTCCAGTTTAATAAGAGAAGAGCTGAAGGATTTGACAAAATCGATAAGACCAAGAAGAATCTCGAACGAAAAACCCGCAAGCTCAATCCCAACACTATTGCTTATGCACAGGTAAAGTTATCGTTTCCAATTTCTTTGATTTCTCTTTCTCAAAAAAAGTATTTTGGTGTTTAAAATTCATCTTTTTAAAACCAAATTAGATCCTTGGAACGGGAATGGACACACAAGATACATCGTCTTCCGTATTGCTCTTCTTTGACAAACAAAGATTCATCTTTAATGCTGGAGAGGTACAATCTGTTTTACAGATGTTTCCAACCTTTTTAGTATATTGTATAAATCTTGATCTCTTACTGGTCATTTTGTTGTATATTCAGGGCTTGCAACGTTTCTGTACAGAGCATAAGATTAAACTATCAAAGGTGGGTATCACTAAACCTCCTCTGTTTCTGTTTCTGTGTGTGATGAGATGAGTTTGAAATTTGATGATTTGCTAAATTTTATTACAGATAGATCATATATTTTTATCTCGTGTCTGCTCAGAGACAGCAGGTGGACTTCCAGGTTTGTCCCAGCTTTGACTTGTGTCTTTATTGCTTGACCTTGTAGTTTATGGTAATTCTTAAATATTTCTTGTTCTGATGTCATAGGTCTTCTACTAACTCTTGCTGGTATCGGTGAAGAAGGGCTTTCGGTGAGTATTCTTGTCATATTATGTGAGTGTATTTCTTTTTGTATGAAATTTTTGAAATTTGTTTCATTGTTTCTGTTACAAAGGTGAATGTATGGGGTCCTTCAGACCTCAAGTTATTAGTTGATGCAATGACGTTTGTTCCACGCGCGGCTATGGTTCATACACGGAGTTTTGGTCCCTCGACTACACCTGATCCTGTTGTTCTTGTGGATGACGATGTTGTGAAAATATCCGCCATTACTTTAGAACCATCACGCTCTGAGGAAGAATCTTGCAGCAAATACGGTGAGATCTCAGTTGTATATGTTTGTGAATTACCTGAAATGATTGGGAAGTTTGACATACAGAAGGCCAAGAATATATTTGGTGTAAAGCCTGGTCCAAAATATAGTAAACTTCAGTCCGGAGAATCAGTGAAGTCAGATGAAAAGGATATTACGGTATGTTGGTGGATATTCGCGATCCAATACCTGTTTTTACCTCTTTGAGTGTATAGAATTATAACAGACTGTTGATGCTTTGGTCTTAAGGTTTATCCGAGTGATGTGATAGGACCTTCCATTCCTGGTCCCATTGTTCTCCTTGTGGACTGTCCAACAGAGTCGCATGCTAAAGAACTGGTTTCAGTTAAGTCTTTGCAGAGATATTATGCTTGTCCTGACAATCAAATCGATGGGGCAAAGTCTGTAGATTGTATCATACATTTAAGCCCATCTTCTGTGACAACTAGTCCTACTTACCAAACCTGGATGAAGAATTTTCATTCGAGTCAACACATTCTTGCTGGGCATCAAAGGTTTGCTCGCTCCTCTTCTTGTGGTTGTTTCTCATCAAAAAGTCTTAAGTTAATTTGCTCGATGCTAATATCTCGTTTTGGTGTATTTTATCTAGTAAGAATATGGAGTTTCCAATCCTGAAAGCAAGTTCAAGAATCACGGCAAGACTTAACTACTTATGTCCACAGTTCTTCCCTGCTCCTGGCTTTTGGCCTCCTCAACATGATACTAAGTCGATAATAGATTCCACTCCTTTAGACGAGGTTGCTAAATGCTTTTCTCATACATTTTTTACGTAGTGTGTTGAAATATGTTTGTTTCGTCGTATATAGGTAAGTAATGCTGTGTATTCTTTTTGTCCTTACAGTTCTCCAGTTCAAATCTTGGTAAAAGCATTTCTGCTGCAAATCTCCTCAAGGTATCAACATTCTCAGACAATTTGGGTTTCAAAATCTCTTTAAAAACCAAACCTATCTTTAGCTCTTAAAATCTCCTTGTCTGTTAATCTTTTCTTTATTGTGGGCAGTTCACTTTGCGTCCTCATGCTAATCTCGGGATCGACAGATCTTGTATCCCTCCACAATTGACATCCTCACAAGTAGTGGATGAGCTACTTTCAGAAATTCCAGAGATTCAAGACAAATCCGAAGAAATCAGGCAGTTGTGGGATAGACAACACAACAAGACTGAGAGTGACACTCTTCTTCCAAGTTGTCTTGAAAACATTAGACGCGACGACATGGAGATTGTACTTCTAGGCACTGGCTCGTCTCAGCCTTCCAAATACAGAAACGTCAGTGCAATTTATATTGACTTATTCTCTAGAGGTAGTCTTCTCCTAGATTGTGGCGAAGGAACCTTAGGCCAGCTGAAAAGAAGATACGGTTTGGATGGCGCAGATGAGGCGGTTCGAAAACTGAGATGTATTTGGATCTCTCACATCCACGCCGATCACCACGCTGGTCTTGCCAGAATCCTAGCTCTCAGATGCAAGCTTTTGAAAGGAGTGACACACGAGCCAGCGATTGTTGTAGCACCGAGGCTGCTTAAACGATTTCTCGATGCATATCAAAGACTTCAGGATTTAGATATGGAGTTTCTTGATTGTAGAAGCACCACAAAGACTTCTTGGGATTCTTTGGAAAACAGCAGTTGGAATGCAGAGGGTTCTTTGTTTAGTCAAGGAAGTCCTATGCAGAGTGTCTTCAAAAGATCTGATATCCCAATGGATTCTTTGGCTTTGCCATGTTTGAAGAATCTGAAGAAGGTTCTTAGCGATATCGGTGTGGAGGATTTGATTAGTTTCCCTGTTGTTCATTGTCCTCAAGCCTTTGGTGTCGTTGTAAAAGCAGCGGAAAGATTGAACAGCGTTGGAGAGAAAATCCCTGGATGGAAGATGGTTTATTCAGGCGACACAAGACCTTGTCCTGAGATTGTCGAAGCATCACGAGATGCAACAATTCTTATACACGAGGTAAAAGTTTTAAACTTTTTTGACATATCTATTCATCTGATCAGCGAGATTTTCAACGTTCTTTATCATTTTTCACAGGCAACTTTTGAAGATGATTTGATAGATGAAGCTTTGGCAAAGAATCACAGCACGACTAAAGAAGCAATCGATATGGGATCTTCAGCAGGTGTGTATAGGATTGTTCTAACGCATTTTAGCCAGAGATATCCAAAGATTCCGGTGATTGATGAGACGCATATGCATAATACTTGCATTGCCTTTGATTTGATGAGTATAAACATGGCGGATTTGCAAGTTCTTCCTAAGGTTCTACCGTACTTCAAGACTTTGTTTAGAGATGAGATGGTTGAGGAAGAGGATGCAGATGATGTCGCCATGGATGGCTTAAAGGAAGAAGCTTTGTGATGATTCATCAAACAATGCAATAGGTTGTTAGCTTGTATTTCTTGTAGTTGTTCGTTTGTTCATTGTTTTGGGTTTATAGGATTAGGGTAGTATTTTCTTGTGGTTGGAAGAAAAGAAAAAGAGGAAACAACTTAATTTTGAAATATTTATTACGAAAATATAGAATTACGACAATGATCTTAACCAATCACCTATATTTTTTTTTTCTTTCTGACAACTCTTACCAAATCCTAAATAATTATGAAAAAATTATTCATAATCCAAATTTTATTGAGCATATTGATCCTGTCAATAACCAGATTATACAGTGAATAGCTAAAGACTGGCCATGACTAAAGAACTCTGAGCATATGTGTAGTTGTTTTCTATATTTCATTTGTGAAGAAAAATATAAAGGATTATGTTTACATTCTCATCTGAAGCATTGTAGTCTAATTAATTTCTGCATCTATACAAAGAAGTTTTATTTCTCTATAAGATACCCAAAAGAGAGAAAGCAAAACTAAAAATGTAAATTGAAGAGAGAGAGAGAGAGAGAGAGAGAGAGAGAGAGAGAGAGAGAGGTGAGAGGTAGTAAATTAGAAAGAAAAGGTTGTGAGGATCAGTTGCTGAGGAAGCACCTTTTGTTAATCTGAGATAAACTTTTTTTTTTTTTTCCTTCTTGATCTTTTACTCTATATAAGAAGATGAAAAGAGAAACCATTGTATCATTGCTTTTTCTCTGAATGCTATCGTGGATGCTGAATTATCACCAGAACTGAATCTTTTTGCCTATCGTAGTTTGAACACGGCGTTGGCTGCAAAAGATATTTAATCACGGTTTCGAATTACGTAAACTTCAGGCTTGATGATCCAATGAAACGAGTATAGATGAAATGACTTACCACTCCAATGTTCCATTCACGACTTCTGAATTCCTTGAAAGTTTTTGCGTCCATTTCCTGAAAGATTTATTAGAAAGATTAGCATAAGTAGAACATTACTTGAACCAACAAAAAATTCACCAAAGCAAGGATCAGCTTTGAGTATCAGTTAATCCAAAGATATCATAAGGTAAAAGAAGGTTACAATGTGCCACTTACCATGCTAAAAACCGGAGGAATAATTGTATTCTCTTTGGGTTTTAGTGTAGGCATTACTGAGAACCGTGGTGCCATGTCTTGACACCTGAAAGTCCAACTGCCAAAGTATCGTTTCCAACTTTATTAGACCTTGACCAAGCAAGAACAGAGAAATGCTCTTGAGAGAAATTGAAAAACTGAGATTAATATAACTTACCCAATGTAGAGAAAAATGCAGAACTGAGCCCATTCTCGAATTAGTAACCTTAGCCAATAATTCTGTGAGGAGTTATCCATGTTCATATAGATCTGCCAAAATTCAAGGTGAGTCATGAGTTTAACTACAAAGCAGCTAATCCAACATGATATTGTGAAATGAAATATATGCTCATACCACAGTTTCAGCCATGGCTACAATCTGCATAGCTCCTTGGAATTTTCTGAAAACCCACAAAAACAATTATGAAACTCTTTATTAGCAGCTTATCTACTTCCATCTACAAACGAAACCGAGCGTACCAAGCAACAGAAAAACGTACTTGAACATGATGTACTTAGCATAGACAGCATCATGCATAGCTTGAACATTCTCATCCTCTATGAAACTCAGCTGTTCTCGTAACACCGACAAATTTTGTGATATGTGGTGGAAAATAACATAGAATGAGATCATGTAGTTAAGAATCAGAAGCACCTGGAGAAATAAAAAAAAAAGATTGGTTCATCATCCATCATCATTTGGTAAGTAAAAGTAACTTAACTGAGTAGGTGAAAAAAGGTAAAAACTCACTGCAAAATAAGGAACAGAAGCTCGGTATCCAACTAGAGTCAAGTAAAAGACACAACCAAGTGAAGCTGTAGTTCTACGTTCGGTCAGCGAGAGCCGTTCACATGTGATGCAATAACCGTGAGAGATGAGTAAAAATGACACAAATGAAGCTGTCTGAAACAGAACACCAGTCACATATACACCAAAAGACATCCAAAGAGAGCATATTTGATGGTGAAAACATGAATGCCTGCCACCAAAACCGCTTCGCCCAATTAATATATTTGATTGAGACTTTTAAAAATGGTATTTAAGAGAAAAAAGTTTCCCACTTTGCCAAAGGAACATTATTGGTAAATAATAACTTCACAATAGCTTAAAGGAGAGAGTACTTACCAAAAGAGGAAAGATAGAGTTAGCTGTAAAGCTTTGATTAATGGAACTGAAGCAAGAGTCCATTGTAAACTATTTGTCTGTTCTAAACAAAACACATAACCAAATCAAATTCTGTTTCTTCGTTTAGTGAACTGAAACTTTACTGTAAAAAAGGAAAAAAGTAAAAAAACAGAATCATCTAAATTCGCACAATCTGCAAAATCCGATTGAATTTCAAGAACAAGTGATCAATGAAGTAAGTTTCAATAGAGAATCAATTGACTTTAACACGCCATATTTGGAATTGAGAAGAAATTTCATCTACCCAATAGTGAAAAATCCGAGCTTTATCGAAATTAAAGCAAAACTTAGAGATATTGACCTGAAAGTGACGATTTTTGAAAGTGTTAACCGTCCAGGAACAAGCGGAGAGAGACCAGATCGATAAAAAAGTTAAGTAGAGAATCGGGAGATGACGATATGAATCATCGACGCCATTGATGCCGTGAGATTCTTCCATAAAAAAAGAAAGCTCAATCTCGCTGAAGAACGAGAAAATTTTCTGTAAAACCTTGTAAGAAAATTTTTGTTTCTGATTTTTTGAAACTTGACATTTCTGTTGGGGTTCTAAATACTATATATGATGAATCTCTTTACTATTGACACTTGTCTTTTCCACTACTTTTTTCTTTTTCTTTTGGATAAACCAATTAATGTTTTTAATTAGCAATGAGAATTAACTGCCGTTAGATTAATTCCATTAATTTCGAAAAAAGAAAGATTAATTCCACTAATATCTCCAACTAATTTTCAGTTTCACTTCATGTATTAAAATCGCGATTATTTAGTTTTCAAGTATTTAATTTTGTATAATCAAACTAATCTGAAATTTGTAGCTTATATTATTCTAATATTTAGTTTCTTTTTTTTTTTACTAACTGATTTTTTTGGTTTAACATTAATTGATGTTAAGCATGTTTTAAGCCAATTCTATGATTAAAAGTAGAATAATATGGGGACCCCCGAATAATATGTAGGCGAAAGTTTTTTCATTTTTCATTTTTAAATATCAAATAAAACATAAAAATATATATGTTATCGTTCGAGTCGTCGAAAATTTGGGTGAGCATAAAAAGAAGGTGGAGGAGAGAGCAGACATGCGAACAAAATGGCCATTCAACTAACCCACTCTCTCCTTTTTGTCGTTGAGTTTTGATCACCAATACTCTTATATTATGTTTTTCCCCCTTTTTCATTTTATCTTATTAATTATATTCTCTATGTAAATTTTGTTGACCGTTGTGACTTGATATTTATTTTATTATATTGTATTATTGTCCGGCTCTTTTAATTTCGTGGTACAGTTACCACTTAAATCATATGGCTATTTTGTATATTACTTTTTAGATTAAAAGGAACGTGGAAGACACTACACAACAAATTAGGTCAAAACATCAAATTTGGTGGGAAAAATTATCAAATTAAAATAATAGCCGGTTCGTATATTTGGTCACAAGAACTACAAGAAAATAATAAAAACGGGCAGAGAGAAAGATTCATGTAGGGAAATATGCAAGCATGTCACTGTATTTCTTAGAATATTTATATGTGATCACCAATATATATCCATTTAGCAAAATTATATATAACAATTAACAAGTGTCAAGTGTGAAACCTTAAGGTAATCTAATTGAAGCTCTAATCTAAACACCGAACTTTGAGAACAATGACCGCGATCGATGGCGAGGCAACAACATCTCCGTTTTGATAAGAATAATGGTTCATGAATCGCTCCTTTAAAGATGAAAATCATTTGATCTAGTGATTTTAATTTACACATATAGAGGATGACTGTTAAGTTTTATTTTTATTTTTTCAAATAAAAGGAGATAAATCTATCTAGTGTACGATAAATGACCTGCATCTAATTGGCACATTTTGGACCAGGAACATGATTCAAGTTCATACCGCATTTTCGTAACTCTCTTAACACCAGTACTAGATTCTAACCCCGTGTATCCACACGAGAATATTTTTTATTGTTTAACGAATTTTGTAATATAATTTGTGTTTTTGAGTTTAGATATAATTATTTTTATAAATATTTTTTTAATAAGTGAAAATATTGATTTTTGTGTTTAGATATATTTTTATAGTATTAAAATTAATTATGATTATAAAAATATAATTTTAACCCGTCCGCTAATATTAATTCAAAATGAACTATTATAAAAACATAATTCTAACTTTTCCGTTCATATTATCGTATAATATAAATATTTGTTAAAAGTTTGAGATGTATTAACAGTTTTATTTAGTATTATAGTTTTCTAAAATTTAATCAACAAAGGGAGTGTACAACTGGTTTTTCAAACCACATTATAGTGTATGCAATAACTTTTATTTTTTTATGTTTTTATTTTGTATGAAAAATATATTTTCAATATACAGTAAAACCTCTATAAATTAATAATATTAGGACCACAAGATTTTATTAATTTATCGTGATATTAATTAATCTATAAATTATTAATTATTAATTTATAGAAGAAAATTGTTTTTCGTCCATCTTCTTTTTAAATTTTCTTTCAAATTATGTTATATTTAAAAATCAAAACTCATATGTTTATAAAATAACATATAAAAATTTAATATCTAGGAAATTTATTTTATCGGCTTTCTTCCGATCCCATGGAAAAGTTGAAGGTTCAACATATGTATTATCCACACTCCAAAATTTCAAGATAATTACGAACAACAGTCTCACTGCCTAAGATATATATCCGAAAAGATGAAATTTTTTCGATTTGAATACTTTAATACATAACGAAAAGAATGAATAATTGGATGTAGAAGGAAGCTCTTTTTTGGTTGGAAAGAGAAATGATAAATCGTGTGCTAATTTGAAGATGATTTTGTTGGGTGCTAACTTTAGAGAGACCTTTCGAATCATAAGTAAGTCCATTTTGTTGCCTTAACACGAATCATTATACTATACATTTACCCTCAATTCATTTGACCACAACTATCTCGTCATATCCTTATCTTATGCATATATATACTGATACATATAATAATATGTATGATCACCAGAGAGGGATCGAAACTGCTAAAACATAATAAATAAAGTTAAAACACAGTCATATATAATTTAGTGACACCAAAAGAGAAAACGAATAAAGATATGGTTTGAAACACAGATTTTTAATCAATACTCGCTCGTCCAACACGGCCAGTACTCGGTGCAATCCGGATTTCCATTATAAAATCTATTTTTTTCCAAGTTTTTTTTATCATGAATAGTATAATCACTGAAATGTAACCTAATTCAATATGGATATGTTTTATATAGTTTGAGTTCGAGTTCAACTTTTAATCATTCTAACCCCGTGCATCCGCACGAGAATATTTTGTTTGACGAATTTTGTAATATAATTTGTGTTTTTGAGTTTAGATATAATTATTTTTATAAATATATTTTTTAATAAGTGAAAATATTGATTTTTGTGTTTAGATATATTTTTATAATATTAAAATTAATTATGATTATAAAAATATAATTTTAACCCGTCCGCTAATATTAATTCAAAATGAACTATTATAAAAACATAATTCTAACTTTTCTGTTCATATTACCTATAATATAAATATTTGTTAAAAGTTTGGATGTATTAACAATATTATTTAGCATTATAGTTTTCTAAAATTTAATCAACGAAGGGAGTGTACAACTGGTTTTTCAAACCACATTTTAGTGTATACAATAATTTTTAATTTTTTATGTTTTTATTTTGTATGAAAAATATATTTTTGATATACATGTATAATTCAAAATTAGTGATTTTAGTTACCAAAATATTTTTAACCCGGTTTATATATATATATTTAGTTCTATGAATTTTAAAAAATATATTTTTAATATTTAAATTATACATTTGAATTTTACCTATTATTTTATTATTAATTTATAAATAAATCATAATCGTAAATATATTATATAAGCAACATAAATTATCATATCATTTACATCATTATAAATATTTTATATTTCAAATATGACCATTATTTTTCATATGTGAATTATTTTTTTTCAAAAATTCTACACATTTTTGATAAAAATGTTTAATAGTATAGAAATTATTTAAATTAGAATCTTTAAATCAAATCTAAATTAATATCTGATTTATTATTTTTAATCAAATCAAATCAAATCTAAATTACATATATTTAAGAAACTCTAAAAATATTTAAATTAATAACTAATTTTCGAAATTAAATATAAATAATTATTAAAATTATTTTTAAATACTTAAAAAAAATTAGGAGTGTTTGGAAGCAAGTACTAAATGTTCTATTAAAACAGAAGCACATTTAGTGCTTGCATCCAAACACTTCCAAAATTTTTTTTATAATATTTTATTTTATTTTTATATTTAATTTCCAAAAATTAGTTATTAATTTAGATATTTTTAGATTTCCTAAAATCTAGGTCATCTTTAATTTAAATTTCAAATTATTAGAAATTTAATTAAATTAATTACAAAAATTTGCATTCAATTTAATTTAAATTAAAAAAATTCAAAGCAAATTATAATTAAATTTTATTACGAAAATTTAGATAATAATTTTAATACCTTAGAATTTATTAAATACTAGAAAGATTTAATTTAACATGTTAAATTTAAATAATATTTTTATAAAAATGCATAATAAATAAATATTTTATCGTACTTTATCATAAACAATCGGTCTAAAATATCAAATATTTGAGATTAATAAATATTTCTATTATACAATAATATGATCGAGCTGATTATAGTTATATATATATATATATTTAAGGTCCATGAGTTAATTTATTAAAACATGTAAGATATTAAGATGATTTGAGATAATTAAACTAACAGGTTAGTATATATATATATATATATATTTTTTTTTTTTAATAGCACAAATAGTAAAGAAATATCTTATTATATTTTTTCATAATCAATTGGTCCAAATATTCTATATTAGTAAATATTTATAGAGTTATACAATTATAATTATAGTTTTATACGGGTTAGTTTGTCAAAACATGTAAGATATTAAAAATGATTTAAGACAACTAAACAGATGGATTAGCAAATTCATAGATATAAAGATTGTTTATGTGTAAATCTAAATTCACATAATAACAAAGTTTATAATTAACATTAGATCAATGTATACTTAATTAACGTATACTCTTATTCTACTAATATACAAATTTTACTGTTTAAAATTAAAATATGATAACAATTTTTTGATTTAAAAAAATAAATAACAAAAACAAATTATATCTAAACAAAAAAGATAAATGCAACTTATATTAAAAATAAAAAATAATACATTTCCGTGCGGACGCACATGATTAAAAAGATAAATGACCTGCATCTAATTGGCACATTTTAGACCAGGAACATGATTCAAGTTCATACCGCATTTTCGTAACTTTCTTAACACCAGTATTATATCACCTAGAAAGAAATTAAAAGAAGCTATTGTGATCAATTGTTAAAGAGAGTAACAATGAATTTTGATATTAATAATTTTGATAAATCTGTAATGGCGATAACCAACTT